AATATTTCTTAACTTTTAAGTACAAATTTAGTACCCTATTTCAATAAAATGATAAATATAACTTCAAAATTACAAACAAAAAATGCAACGCACCGGCCATCTGAGCTCAATTTGTATGATTGCGTAGCGAGTGTGTTTGCGTTTGTAATAGAGCTCTTAATAAAATAGCATTGTTATACTATGTATGAGATAAGAATAACTAATTTTGCTTCGTGGGTGATGCGACGTAATATAACAATATTATTTTGATCATTTTGACAACCTTCTAATCATTTGCATGATTTGGATTATATTTATAATCTAAATCAGACCATTTTTTAGATTAGATTTCAGACACAAAAACTTCAGTATTATATGTCTTAATTTGTTTGCAATTTAGTTCAAAATTGATTGCAGAAAATTTGATTTTTGAAGTAATCTGATTTGCGACTGTTTGTAAATATTTTTTTTTAATTTTTGGTAATAATAATAATTCATTACTAAAATTTCATAAAAATGGTGGATATGTTTTTAATTATGGCAGGTGACAAGAATATGATTAATGACCCATGGGACCCAAGGATGCTCGTAATGTTGACAAAACAAAGATAAGATCTATTTTAATGTATCAAAATATTGAGCCACATGGAAAACGAATGAAAAGAGTGAACGAACAAAAAATATGAAACGAATATCATAGTATTGATTAATGGAAATAGTGAAAATCTGCAAAATATTTGTTAGATTATGGAGCTACGTCAACAAAAACCAAGGAAATAGTGATCTTAAAAAAACTATTTCTTCTAAAATTTACAATTAATAAAACTGTTTTTTAATTCGAATACACTGCAGCAGTGCATGTTTTTTTCTTAGAAAAAACCACTCTCTAATTTGAATTACCTTTAAATAACGCAATACATATAATATTATATTTTTTAAAGAAGAGCTCGATGGCGCAGAGGTTAGTGCCCTCGGTTTGCGATACGGTTCTTAAGCAACTTTTGCAACGGTCGGTTATCAAAAATATATTATCTCGAGCTCCTTCGTGTTTCGGAACGCACGTTAAGCTGTTGATCCCGGCTGCATCTGCCGTCGTTTATACCCACCATTCCCGTGATGGGTCATGACACATTCTGCCTCTTCAATTTGATCCGATTCCATCCATAGGGAAGGCCTGAGCCACAGCAGTGGGAATTAATGGGCAGGTAATGATGATGATGATTTTAAACAGCATTCACTTGAATTCAGTAATATTTTTTATTGACAACTACACATTAAATATAATAACAAAATATTAGTATGAGTAAACTCATTATTTAACGTACATTAATTTACAATGTAGGTCTAGAGACGTAGTAAAAAAAGACCCACTGAAGTGTCCTATTTGCGGTGTTTTTACAAGACTTTATTTACCTTGATATGTGTATGCAAGATTATTAACTCGATATGCTGGTAACTTTATAATTAAATACCTAATCAATAGTTCTGTCTTGTTCGATTGGTCTTACAATATAGTTGATAATGTCCAGCAAAAGCTTTACAAATAAACATTTCATAAATTTATTTTCTTCACACTTTAACTACTTTTGAATTTTCAATAACATAGTCTTTAATGGAAACAGTAAAATCAAAGCATCTAAATTAAGCAAAATAATATCTAATATCAGTATATTCTAAAACACCCTGTAATGTTGATGTCAAATTATCATCAGAATAACAAAATAAATCTTCAAATAAAGCGATAACATTAGATAATACTAATTAAATTCATAATGATACTTTGTACCGACAGAATTATTTTCGAAATCTATATAAATACCTGATCATCTTGAAAAATAGTATATTCAACTGAAAAATCATAATGCGAGCTACTCTACTACTTTTTTTTACTTTCTCGGGTAAGTTAAACAAATTTAAATCCTTAAAATTCTATTCATATTACTAACAAACATCTTTCATTAGAAATGTCTATTGTATATATTCACTATAACATTAATTTGATATACTGTACAAAATACAGCGTCGAACACAGCACTGTCGCAACATTAGAGGTTCAAAATAAGTTAGGCCACTATTATATTTCGATGTGTAACGTGTTCGGTGCTTAGGTAAATGAAAGGCTGACGATTCTTGATAATTTGATATATTTTATGATGTAAATAAAATAACCCTTCCTCGTGTTGTAGATACAAATAGAAGTTTAAAAATGTAACATTTTCTTTTTACTGATATATAATACGTGAAAATAACAGAACTTAATGAAAAATTCTTCAAAATCCACTTGGTCCCGGGCACCCTGAGATGGGATTCGAATTTTTCAAGCACTTGTTACTTTTTCGCTAATACAGAGCGTAATCTCATCAGTGTTCAGGGAATCCAATCAAACAGCCGAAAGAAATATTTTAACATATATTTAAATTTTCGATAAAGATGAAAATTTGTTCTAATTATTATATTTGATTAATTTCGCTGCACTATGCTATACTGAAAAAAAATCTTAATAAAATATGCTTAATTTTTTTCATTTAAACTATAATAACAGAACTAATCATGATCATTGTATTTTGGTAAATCCTAACACTTTTTGTATTAGAAATTGATGCTATGTTTTCACTAGATGAAACTTCACGAACTGACATTCAGAAAGAGCATATCACGTTACTTAAAAAAAAAAGGAAATTATTTTTAAGATCATAGATAAAAAGTTTGGATGCAGGAACGTAGAAGTAAGTTTTATTTGAATGGCCCTGTAATTGCATGACTGCGCTGTTTTCGACGCGGTATTTTAGCACTCCAGTTTTAATATTGTAAAATAATTTTAATGACGAATTTGATGTTAATGCATGTTTATTTGGTAACAAATATTTGACAATTATCTTCAAAATAATGAGCGAATTTTTGTCACAGCATATGTTGCGGCATTGCCAAAGGCGGATATTGGTATTGAAAAGACGTACCCTAGGTACTTAAACTTCCCCGATGGAGATGGTAACTTGCACCTGGTAGACCTTCAGGCTGAACCCGATTATGAACTCCTAGCGGAAATTCAAAGAAACCCAGCCAACAATCAATACATATTATTTACAAGGTATGAAAATATATCAGTTTTTTACATTTTTCCAAACTGTATTTAGTTGACAATTACTTAACTAAAGATTTGTGTAGTCGCAAAAAAACTAAAAGATCAAAATTTAGCTTGTGTCTCTTTTATCCACTATTATATGTTTCTAATTTTCGACAAAAAAAACTATAATCATTTATCGAAAACTCATAGAATATAAAGTACGTGGTAGCAATCCCATTTTTAGCAATAATTCCAAAATACTCAAAAAATCATTTGAAAATAATGTAAATATTTTTCTTTATTTATAGGCGTAATCCGAGAAATGGTCAAACTCTAGTGATGAACAACGCCAACTCCATACGCAACTCAAATTTCAATGCCCAGTTACCCACTGTGGTGATTGCCCACGGCTGGCTCAGCAATCAGAATACCGACATCAATCCTACTATCAGAGACGGTCGGTTTACTATGATTTTTTAATTATCAGCTCTTTTACGTCCCTACTGCAGAGGCTCATCAAGCCTTCCTTATAGATTAAGGAACATGTACCATAAATCTCCACGGCGGCCTAATAGTAATCGGAGGATATTAACGTCTACAAATGCAGCTTGGATCATCGAGAAAATATTAGAAGGCACGTTAGTCTTCTAATATTTTTTGGTCACCCGTTCCGTGACCGACCCTAACGAAAGATGCTTATCAACAATGATTGTAGACCGCGACTCTTTTACACTACGTCACCGAGCTAACGAGCTTTTTATTTATACGAGGGTCAAACTGAAAGTTCTTAGAAAATCAAAAACTGATTACATTAGCCAGTTATTAGTTTTATTATATCTTTTCAAAATATTGTCCATTCACGTCAATACACCGCTGCATGCGATGGAACCACTGGGAAAAGCACTTTGCCCACTCGTCCTTAGGGGTCTCTTCAATGGCATCGCGATACGCAGCCACCGCTTCTTCAGCATTCATAAACCGCTTTCCTTTAAGTTTTTCTATAATTTTTGGAAATAAATAAAAATCACAAGGCGCGAGGTCGGGGCTATACGGCGGGTGACCCAGTAATTCAACATTTGATGTCGCCAAATAGTCGATCGTTCGCTTGGCGGTGTGCGACGAGGCGTTGTCGTGGTGAAGGAGGATCCTACTGCGAGGTCGTTTCTCTCGAACTTTTTCCAAGACAAGTGGCAAACAATTGGTAGTGTACCATTCTGCAGAAACTGTTTTTTGATCCTCTAACACAATTGTTGCAAAATGACCTATCCTTCCAAAGAACGAGGCCACCATTTTTTTTCCCGCACTTCGATCTCTCTTCACTTTAGTTGGCAACTCCTCGAAAGGAAACACCCACTGAGCAGATTGTCTTTTGGTTTTAGGATCATAACAATAAATCCAGCTTTCGTCACCTGTTAGTATGTCGAACACAGCATTTGAGTCACCTCCGTTAAATCTTTCAATCATTTTACGACACCAATCCACACGATGGAGTTTTTGAGCCTCAGTCAAATTATGAGGTATCCACCGGGCGCAAAGCTTCCTGACCGCTAAATGTTCGTGGAGGATTTTGTGCACTTGACTCATACCGATGCCTAAGCTTGTCCGAATCTGTTGATAGGTCACTCTTTTGTCAGTCTCTATCATACGCCGCACAACACAGATGTTATCTTCAGTCGTCGCCGTAGAAGGCCGTCCCTCACGTAAATCATCAGTGAGATTAGTGCGACCACGTTTAAACTCATTAAACCAGTTGTAAACAGTCGCACGAGATGGGGCTTCATCGTGAAAGGCCAATCGTAGTCTATCATAACTTTCTTGTTGACTTAAATGACATCGAAAGTCATAAAAAATCATTGCACGAAAATTTTCTCGTGTTAAATTCATGATGACGTGACACAGACACACAGACGTGACAATTTTCAATTTGCCGCCAAATCGTAAAACAAATGACAAATGAATGAAATATATACTCAGTAATATTGGCAAAGAGTTATATTTTCAAATTTTAGAATTATTTTTTTATTATATTGTTTATAAGTGGCCAGTTCTAAGAACTTTCAGTTTGACCCTCGTATTAATAGGAAACTATGTAAAAATATATTCTTTCATTTCTAGCTTACCTTGGCAGGAGCGATTGTAACGTAATTGTTCTCGACTGGCGAAGACTTGCTATTTCTGACTACGCTACAGCAGTACGTGGTGTCCCAGCTGTTGGCCGCGGTCTAGGGCAGTTCATCAACTTTTTAATCCAAACCAGTGGTGCCAATATAAATAACTTCCATCTAGTTGGATTCAGTCTTGGTGCTCATTTAGTTGGCAATGCTGGAAGAGAATTACAAGGCAGAGCTGCTCGCGTTACTGGTGAGTAGATTGCTAAAGATAATAAGTTTCAGTGATGCCAAACTAAACTTAAAATTATGAAACGATGCATGTATTTAAGTAACCTTTTTATAAGTCGTATAGAAATTAATATAAATTGTACCCACATTATGTCTTGATATTATTGCAATATTAAATTTTTTGCAAGCCAAAAATATACAAAAGAACTAATAACAAAGTATATAAAATTGCTTAAGAAATTTGGCAGATGATACAAATTATTTATTAAATTTTGTTCTAAATGTATTAAATAGGTTTGGACCCGGCTGGACCTCTATGGAACTATAACAGCAACCGCCTACGTCCTAGCGATGGTGTTTACGTGGAAGCCATCCATACAGACGGTGGCATGACTGGTCTCGGAATTGGTTCAGCTGTTGCCGACGCTGACTTCTTCCCAAACGGTGGCAACAGCCAGCCAGGATGTTTGACCTCACTCTGTGATCATAATCGTGCGTGGGAACTCTTCGCCGCCACGGTTACCCGTAACCATCTAGTTGGAAATTTGTGCAACAACAACCTCCAAATCACTTTGAACAACTGCCGTGGCTCACAACTACACATGGGAAATGATGATTTAAGGAAATTTGGGTGTGTATCATATTTATTAATCTCAAAGTTCTTATTATCAAATATTTTTAGAAAAGTGTAATATTTTAACAGCATATTAATATTGTTTTTTTTGTTTCAGATCTGGTATGTATCGACTAAACACTGCCAGAAGATATCCTTTCTGATTAAAATAAAAGACTAATCTGTAATCTGTTTGATATAAAAGTTTTATTGCTATCCATATCTTGTTTTCTTTTAAACAACATTAAGGCTATTAATTGTATTCAGAGAAACGTATGATTTTACGATGAAACAATAGTTTAGTGATAGAAATCCCTAAAACAAATTATCTATCATTTATTTTAAAAGATCGTCAAGTATTATTTATGACAAGATATTATGACTGTTACCAATATCTAATTATTTACATCGTAATCAATAGCACCCCGACGACTCTGTTACGATGGTAAAACTCTGTCCAGTAACTAAGAAAAAAACGGAAGTACTAATTTTCGTTTTGTTTTGATCAAATTATGATCTAATGTTATGGATTAACATTTTTAAATACAATAACATTAAATGATTTTTATGGTATTAGTATCATTATTGATAAACACTAACAATTATATTTCTTACAAGCTAAAATTATAACTAACTTCATATTATAAAAACTTAAAACTACTGAATCGCCTTTTTTCGACAATTCATTATGACTGTTTATTTTTAGAATTGTTAAAAAACGAATGTGATTTTCGAAGAAATCTGAAAATATCACACCGCATAGGAGCTTACTATTTCTGAATCAAAATCCGCAAGAAAAGAACAATTTATCATATTTTTTATAGTTGTTGTTAGTAAAAAAAGTTGAAAGCTAAATTTAAAATTTTTGCAATCCGATATCGAATTTGCTATAAATACACGGACAAACATGCAGATATAAAAATACCTACACGATTAGCATACGTGTCATTATATACGCATATTGTGCCATACCTAATATTACACAAAACTAGACGTAGAAAGGAATCTTTTTCGAACATTTTATATTTTGGAAATTAATGGACCCTTTTTACATTATTTAATGAACAAATATTACATCATAAATTCAATAAATATTAATTTGCCGCTATGCACTCTATTACTTTATATCTTGCTCACTACTCTGAGATTTAAGTTTGACTTTAATAAAATACTGTTTACTACTGTTCTAGTGCTACAATCTGGTTACAGAAAATCTAAAATCATATCATTCATTAATAGTTTTAAATCTTTTATCAACATTCTAAAGTTGTCTTTGGACTCCTGTAGCTATAAAAATCTGCAATCTTCTTGAATTCCACAGACGTCAAATAATCAAGGAGAGAAAGCAGTGTTATTTGAGATAATCCATGCAGTAATATCAAGTTGTCACTGTCATTACAATGCCACAATCTGGCCAAACAAGAAATGAAAAAAGTTCGTTTTAATCAACAACTCGGTAGCCACTAGACGACTTCGTTTGCCAACTTAAAAATAGCAACATCTGCTTGTGCTAAGCGTATTGTCTCGAAGTTTATCCCTGGTCTCAGAAGTTCCATTCGTTAGTTTCATTATTGTTACGATAAGTAGTGTTTTCATTTGAGTTCATTGGTGTTGAGTGACTAGTTCTCCGATTTCCTAATGACGCAATTTTTAATGTACCAGGTTTTATATCTTAATATGACTTATACAGAATATTGAAAATTAACTTTTATAGAGTGTCTATTAAATCTATTATTTCCAATTACCATAGTAGTTATTCTGTAGAATGTAGATATGCTATGTTAGTTTAAATTTGAAAGCCCCAATGTAGATAATGGCAATCTAAAATAATCTTGATTAAATTATTTGCATATCCGACACAAGGTGTGCCGCATCAATGCCGATGTACTGGCAGGGCATTGTAAACTAATAAATTCGAATTATTTTAAGACTGTTTCAATAGTTCTTCCTAAACAGAAAGCCTACTCTGTTCCTACGAAATTCGTCTATTTTCGAAACCCTAACACGCCCCTAAAGGAACACATTTTTCGAAAATTAATAATGAACCGGAGGTAGGACCCTGGCACTGCTTCTGCTGCACAGATAATAATGACGTATACAATTTTTTTTTTAATTGTAAGGACTACTCGATGTTTTTGTAATTTTCATTCGTAGACAAACAGAGTAGCCCCTCAGGTTTATATAGTGTATCAGTTGATATCTTATTTTGATTAAGGATAACAGAGAATGAATTTTTGAAAAAATAATGAAAAGACTTTTAAAATAATTAAAGTAATAAAAAAGTATGTAGCAGAAAATAAATATTGTGAACGTTTAAGATAAATATTACTAGAGTTATTTTATCATGACCAACTTCGTTGAGTTGTTAACTAAAAATAATATTAGGACAGAACACCTGGTTTTTGCCATTGCCCCCTTTTTGGCTATTTGGCACTTAGGTGTTCTATTTACAGCAAGAGAAATGTATTACTTTACCGTGAAAACTTTTTAAAACATTGCATTATGGAAAAGCTAGTACCGTTAACTGCTATGATGTTTCATAATTCACTTCCTTGTAACTCTTAAAATGGTTAGGTCATAATCTTAAAATGGTCAAAAACCGGGTCATCTGCCTTAATCCTTATTAGTACGAAATATATAAACTACACAAGCTTGTATCTATTATTTATATTTAAACATAAACATTTTTTGTATAAAGAAGTAAAATCAATATCGATTACGTAGTTCGTAAGCGGTGAGTGAAGTGAGATGTGTACGAGATGGGATGGTGGTGCGAACCTCCCGAACACTGGTAACAGCCGCCATGGCTCGAATACGAATCGTCACATAATGAGAACGTGAAAAACACTCGCTACTCGCAACTCTTACTTTCCCACACTCCTATTCCAAAGGAATATTTACACGCCACGATTTGAGTCGTTACCGGTTTTTTTTTGGGATGTTTATTCGCTCTACTCATTAAATATTTTTGTCAGTGTTGTATTATATTATCGATTTGCAATTATCACTAGATATCACTAGAATAGTGTTTTGATTGATTAAATTCTTGATTATGGCTGTTTTTAAATTACAAAAGCACTGCTGATATGAGAAATCTTCATCAAATTCAATAGAATAATATTTTTAACCCTATTCAATAGAAATAGATTTAAAAATGAGTTCTAAAAAGTTGCGTTTCTTTAAAATCTTTACAGCATCATTTGACATGATATGATATTATGTGAATATTCTATTAAACAAATCCAAAAAGTACATTAAACAAGATACAGTAACACAAAATATAGGCCTTATTGCTAAGGTACACCCGGCGACGTTAGGCTAATTAACTGCGGGTTAGTGCATTAGGAGAAACATCACATGATAATATTTATAAATGCAAATACATAATCTAAAATATATGAATTAATGTACTTGATGTCAAAATTGCAAAATATATATTAAGCTTTCAGATTCGGATCAGTAATTTCAGATTATGATACAAATATTTGAGAAAAATAAATAAATATTTGTTTATTTTTATTGCCTACATAATGATTTCATCATATTTATTATAAGCTTAATAATATTCCCACTGCTGGGATACAGACATTTCCTATTGATCAAATGACACGTGTCACCCGTCAGTCAGGATCAATGTCACAAAGTGAATCCCAAAGTACAAAGGAGGTCAAAATAATAAATTCAAAATAATAATTTATGTACCTATTTATATGGCGCACATCTCAAACGGTCATCAAACGTCCATTAAATGTAGTTTCATCATCATCAGCCCTTCCCCACTGTAAGGACTCGGGCCTTCCTTATGGTAGGTTAAGGAGGATGGGCCTTGACTTTTCACGCTGACCCAATGCGAATTAGCCCTCTAATTAACGACTGCAAATGCAGCCGAGACCAACGGCTTAACGTGCCTTCCGAAGCAGCCTTCCGAAACACGGTCAAGTAACTCGAGATAATATTTTTTTTGTCACCCATCCCGTAATCGACCCTTGCGAAAATTGCTTAACAACAACGAGCTATTTACATATGATAAAATAAAATAGTTGATCGATGGATGATTCACAATAAACAACTACACTGATATCACCTAGTTGACAGATGCATTTTCATTTCACACCAGAAACGCAAAAACCGTAACATGTAGACAAGACTCTGAACATCGAGCACATACTACAAGATCAGACAACAGTAAACTTTCATGGAGAACAGAAAAGGTTTGCTTTCATCTGTACGGGCTTATCCCTAAGTGATACTTTGCCGAATCGTTGTTTGATATTCTGATAACATTCGCGAAATAATAGGAGATGTTCCTGTTCATGCGGAGACACCCATTTATCGTCTGGGAGTTTGATGAAAATACTTAAGTGTCGCGTTGCGCCCTCGATAAGTGAAAGCCCTCTAATATTGAATTCCTTTATATATCGACAGCAAACGTGATGTTACAATGGAAACCTAATATTTCCGAATATTACTTCACCGAATACTTTTATCTAGAGTTCACTTAATAAAATGGTTGTTTTTTCAACTTGTATGTTCAAAAGAAAATTTTACGTCAATGACAAACTATTTATAACCTTTATAATTTCTATGATTAGTAATTTCATAGCTACGTTTAAATAATGTCGAAGAAGTCTCGAAGTCAAAATAATTTCAAGTATTAAATTAATGCCCTTCAAAACCAACAAGTCTATATTGTTTAGTTTAGAGAGTCTAAGAGCTATACAATACAGGGTTAGTTGTAAGACACGACGACCTTGCAGCAATAATAAGCCAAGGGTAACCATAGAAATGTAACTACGTCGTGTGTTCATAAGTTTTGAGACGAAATAAAAGTTGCAACTTATATTTCTAAAATTTTTAGTATCCATTAAATAGATAAATAATCAACAATAAAATATATATTTTATTCAAAGTGATCGCCCTTGTTTTTAATATAGGCCCTTATACGATTTGATAAGTCACCAATGGCGGCACAAATCATTTCTAGCGGAATTCGCTTTGCTTCTCGAACAAGGCTTCACTTCAGTGACTCCAAGTTTGGGTGGGCTTTTTGGCACGCCCTAAGGTCTAATTCAGTTCTTAAAAAATTATCCAGCGGGTTGAGGTCGGGGCTGGAGGCCACTCATGTTCATTTTCTCCTTCAACCAGCTTGGTAAAAAACCTCATCCTTATTGTAAAATAACGTATCAGACAGGGGTTTCACGATGGGCTCTTAAATGTCACTCTGATAATTCTTGGCTTTTG